CCCCCACACTCGATTAATTATGCATAACATTAAGGAGATACGCACTGGAACTTGCCCCAATGTATTTCTTATGCAGATTCCCTGCCCGTTACCACACCTCAAAGAGATCCGTATTTAAGAGGCCCATCAAGTACAGAAGTGTCCCTTACTAGTAAAAAGGGAAGGAATTAATGGTGCGGGACTAATAATCATTGTTCAGTCCATTTATAAAGAAATAAAGGCCAGAAGTAATCAAATCCCAAAAGTCGAAAAAAATGGCAAGATCAAGCATATTACTACAGCCTTTTGAGAGAAAAATCGACCCCCCCCCCATGGCTTAGTTGAAACACCATAGCAGCAAAACAGTTGGTGCAGATAACTCCCTTGATCATTCTGTATATATATACGTTTTTTTTTCTGAATGTGATAGTCGTGTTGTAATTGCACTCCGATACACGGTATTTGCTTTTGGGTAAATGAACATTCTTCCTATTATTTTCTAAATTCCATTACGAAACGACGAATTGTGAAGGAGAACCATTGCGAAAGCGATGAAACTCACATAAAGTCCGAAAAAAAGGCTATGAAATATATTGATACTTGATATAGATACGTTTATGCGTACTACGTCAGGCAGAAGTGGCGCGAGCTAATGGAGAGAGCTCTTTGGGCTGTGTGTGTGTGTGTGTGTGTGTGTGTGTGTGTGTGTGTGTGTGTGTGTGTGTGTGATGTGTGTGTGTGTGTGTGTGTGTGTGTGTGTGTGGTGTGTGTGTGTGTGTGAGTGTGTGTGTGTGTGTGTGTGTGTGTGTGTGTGTGTGGGGTGTGTGTGTTGTGTGCGTGTGTGTGTGTGTGTATTGTGTGTGCGTGTGTGTGTGTGCGTATGTGTGCGTCGTGAGTGTATCAAGCGAGGGAAAGATAGACCACAGGCGCCGAGAGGAAGGACAGGCAATGAGGCAGAGAGGGGTTTGTATGGGGAAAAACATTAATGAACAACATGCTAAAAATAACACCAAAACAACGCCTACTGCTTCGGGAGACAAACAACATTCCCTTCGCCGTTAAATTTCCTTTCTCACGCTCACCTTCCCTCAGCCACACCCCATGCCGAGTCTCTGGACCACACCCTACTCCTCCTGCCTCCCTTGTTCACGCTTTTTCACCCTATTTGACCCTCATCACACAATGAACTGAATATAAGTGCAAACAAGCAAAAGAGAAGGCCAAAGTGTGTGTGTCTCTCTAAGAATTTTGCATATACATTGTCGGTGATTTTCATAAAAGGTGAACGTCAATACATAGAGAGATAGACCAAGAGAAATAGACAAGGTTGGTATCGAAATGTGTGAATGAATTAACGAAAAAAAAAACAAAGATAAAAATAGAAGACGTTAAATCTATAGACAAACTTAAGCTAACAAGAATACGAGGCCAAAACCCAACCACCTCCTTCCCTCCCTCCCCTCTCACCCCCCCAAAAAAAAGTCAGAAGAAAAGAAGAAGAACAAGAAAGAGAAGAAAGAGGAGGAGAAGAGAAGAAGGAAAAGAAAAGAAGAAAAACAAAGAAGAAGAAAGAAAAAGAAAAACGAAGAAGAAGAAGAGGAGGAGGAGAAGAAGAAAAGAAAAAGGAGAGAAAAAGAAGAAGAAGAAGGAGAAAGAGAAAAAGGATATTGGGGAACGAAAAGACCAAAAGCAAAAAAGAAAGGAAGTAAAGTCCATACACAAACATAAGCAACCAAACAGACAAGACCACACCCCAATATCCTCTTTCCCTCCTCACCCCCAAAAAAGGTCAAAGAAAGAAAGAAAGAAAGAAAAAAAAAAAACGAAAATGGGGGAAAATCCGACGACGAGAAACACCCACGAAGGCAGCCCTGAGCCCCCTGCGTCCTGGCATTGAAAATTCAGCCATCAATTCAGATCTGCAACTTGACATCCAGCAAGTACAAATAGTTTTATTAAAGAGGGATATACCGGTCGGAACCGCGGTCTCGAGTATCGTTCGGGCTCTTCGACGCTATCCTGTGTTTATGTCTTGGTGTGTCATGGGCGGGGATTCGATGTCAGTGGGCGTGATGTTGGTGGGCGTGATGTCGGTGGGCGCCACTGATGTGATCACCTGTGATATCTTTTTAGTTGTGTAGCCAGGAAAAATGTATAAATAATTAGCTTTGATGTCTTGATGGTTAGCAGTTGGTGTAATGACTGTACTACCCTTCTGGTTAGCCATGCTATTACTGTTA